TATTGTGTATGTGTTTTTGAACTTATTTGTATTTGAATTTGGGTATCTGTGTAAATGAGAGAAGAAATTTTTATGTATAAATTGATAATGGTAATATACGTATTCGATTACTGAACTGTTATTACTATTAAATATATTAAGTACGCATTTTCAATTCAATTGTAAAGGTAACAAATACTAAATTTCTTCAAGTAGATATTATATTTTTGAAAGAATACATGTAATTATTAGGGTGGTTAAAAAGAAAATATATGTATTGATTGCTGTAAATTACGTATGTAAAATTGTTATCTGTATAGGTATTTCGTACAGCAGGAGGGATAAACCAAATTGTTTTTTCAGGGTTGATCTTCAATGAGTTTTTTGATTTCGTATTATTTGAACCATCTTAATTCACATATATTTGGTTCTTATCTTCTAATTTATTGTAAAGTAAATTGTAAATATCATATGTATCTGTAGTTAGTATTAAGTATTGGAAAATCGTTGAGGAAAAAACAAATAACTCAGAGTGTTATATTAGGCCACATCGAATACTCTGTATGCACCTACCATCCAAATATGTTTCATAAATTTAAAGTGAATTTCGGACTTAGTCTAATATGGAAGGAATTTGCTGCAACAATTTATCCCTTTATTACATTAAGGCTGAGTTGAGCATCATATCTTGATATATCTCGATATTGGCTAAGATGCGAGTTAGCATGATAGAGGGGGTTATCCTCAGAATTTAGTAAAATCTTAACTATTCTTCGTGCCTTATCAACCAGCTTCATCAAATCTGTCGTTGTTCGGATAATCGAATGGCAGGCAAATATATAGGTATAATCTGCCTCTCTCTTACTTCAGCTGCCTTTCATCCGATGTTGACATCCCTGTTGAACACAGAAAAAATTATCGGTAGTTTATTTTCAATTAACATGTTTTCCTCTTTCTTTAACTTTTATTTAAACAATTTTTTAATTGTCATAGTTATCTCATTGTTTTGGTCCTAAGTATACAAATTTGATTAAACTTTTAATTGAATCAATTAATTTTTTAATTGGATGAAGAAGTTTTTCCAGCCTACTTTTTATTTTGGTTTTTTGTTTTGATATTTTATTTAAATAATTTCATTATTTATAACGGAAAATAATTCTCAAATAGTCAATAATATTTTAGGCATAAGAAATTGAAGTTTCATAAATATTTTAAAATTTAAAAATCACTTTATTTGTTCAAATGTGACAATAAAGTGATATTTTTGAGAGTGCTTAACGCATTGTTAAAGGTAAAGGAATCCTTTAATGTTGTAAGCATTCAATTAATGCTTTGATTGTTTCAATCATCGACTTTATTGATTTTTAATACATTTTTAACCAAACTGTTCAATTTATTTGATTAACAAACTAATTAAAATGTAAGTTTTATTTTATTAAATATTTAATTTATCCAAATAATGAATTAACTAATTTTAAATTTTGAATTTAATTACTGATGTTAATTGTTTTGATTATTCCTTTAATTGGAAAAAATATTTTTTTACAAATTTCATAATTGATATCATCATTTTGTTGATAGGTGCAAAACTTGCTTGATAGAATCAATTTGATAATTAAAACACATTTTCAGTTTTTTCTGTGAAAGAAGAAAATAAAAGTCGTTTTTCTTCAGTTCTTTGATTATAGTTATATGTATCTTAACTTTGCTATTTCCAGCCAGCAGAGCGTTCGTTGCTGTCTTTCTCCGATGAAGGTTTATTTAGACGACTTCAATCATGGCCTCGAATAAACTGTCTTCCTTCGAACACAGTGATCACTTCCTAGCTCGTAAGATTTGACTTTTCTATGTAACCTGATGTACTCTTGTCAATTTGGTTCCTCCCGGGGACATGCTACCTTGGTGAAATCTCCATCTTAGTGATATTGCAATATACTGGGGAAAAGAGGTGCTACCAATACCTCTAGTCTGTCGGGACTATAAACTGGTGATGATCAAATGTATCCTCGGCCTTTCTAGCGGTAGTGGTCAGACCTAATTCAATAACTATATCATCATGCAATCTGGTACAACGGATAGCCGGTTGCCCGCAGCACTTTTCCTGGTCAGTTGGTTGAGGTTAAGGTAGTGGCTGTGGTTTAAACTCAAATTTGCGGGGAGAGAATGTTGGTTTAAGGATTGATATATCCAAATGCCATATATGTCTGGATTCTGGATTCTCTCCGGTGCTGTTGGCATGTTAACAGATGTCACTGGGTGATATGACAGAGCAACTTATGCTGGATTTCTGAACCCGTTGAATATCTCTTACCCTTCACGTAGTAGGGCGCCAGTATAGGATGGGGAATTCTCAGGTTAACACTTGGTAGTTGCCTGTCATTCCGTAGTTCGTTCTTTATGATCTGAGAATGGAACTGATGTAATTGGTGAACGATCGGGAAAGTCTCCTTTGCCCTACAGGAAACTAGTACTAATTTAGTAGACCTTTTACTTTAGGGAAGTTCTCGGTGCTGTTGCTATCTCAACCGGATGCATATTGCTTCATGCTACTCGACTTATGGTTGAGTTCCGTTCCCTCAACTTGTCGGGACAATTATTGGTTTCGTATTGACTTTGGAAATTCCTACATCCTTTGTCACATTATCTGACATACAGTGGGATCCTGATATATAGGCTGGGTATTTCGGACTACCAAATACGTCTCTAGCTGCTGTTGCCAAATCAACAGGGCCATCTCAGTAGTGTGGTTGCGAGGGCTTAAAGAGGTTAAGGAATGCACTCGAATGGGTCATTACCTTACGATATAGATTGATTTCACCTGATGTTGGGGTAGTCTCCCCTTCTATTGACTTTAGACCAGTGATTGCTTTTTCCTTGTCGGGTTTTGCATTGGGATTGATCCCATGCTGCCTGTCATTTCGCAATGGGGCTACTATGGCAAGAGATTAGATAGCTCGAGTACTTCAGCAAAGTGCTTGTACGTGGACCGGCACAGCAATGTACAAAAATTGCGCGTGGTTGACCGTCTCAAGTCTACCCAGTGGATGAAAAAGACCACCTTGAAATAAGGCCGTGGAGGTAGGTGTTCACGTTAAGCACTTAGACATCTTAGACAATCTGTTTACCTTTAAAAAGAGATGCTACCAGTACCTCTAGTATCCCCGGTCTTTCCTTGTAATGATTAGATTTGAGGTCGAACCAGATTACACATCTTATCAGGTAACATAGGAACTGGTAGTTGGCATGGCAGAGTTTCAGATTTTGTGATGTCCTTCGTGATGCCTGTGGTGGCTTTGATGTAAACCTAATGCTGGTTAAAAGAAGATCGATATACGATGAAATTATAGTATTTTTCGGGAAACTTCGGATATATTTGTTAGAAATTAGATAGTTCATGTTCTCGAGCTAAGTGCTTGTACAGGGACGGTCGTAACCCTGTACAAACATTTCTACTTGTATGTTCCTTGCAAGGCACACAAAGGGGCGATGATGAATCGTTTCAAGCTCATCCTATAGCTGAAAAGGAACCACCGTGAAATAGGCCGTTTAGCAGGTGTTCACATAAAACACTCGACTTCTGTCAGATCGGGTGGTGACAGCTCTTAGATACCATCGAATTATTTAGGAAACTGGTGATGATGATTCTTTCATCTTTCTTACGATATGACTAACACAAGTCTCCTATAGTGGGTAATTATGCCATGAATGTATTATCTTCCCAAATTTAGTTTCCTGTCGATGTGTTACAAATGGCAAGGAAAATCAATATATCCCCATTGTTTTTGATAGTGGGTGTAGAAAGACAATAAAGACGACATGTGTTGAAATTTAATGAATTTAATAAATATCTTATTTAGGACAAGTACTTATACTAGAGAAAGAATAGAGCATTTTTTGGAATTTATTTTAAGTGTTTCTGGAAATTGAGAATAATAAGAGTTTGCTCATAAAAAAATTATATTCTTTTTTTTTTTGCGAAAAAAACAATTTTGGAAAAGAAATGTGTGGGAAAATTGTAGGTTCACGTGTAACTTAAAAAATCTGTAGTAGATTTAATATTAGTCTACAAAATAGGTATGTAAAGAAATAAAAAGCAACAAGTAGAAGGATTTTGTATAAAGTTTCTAAATATTTCCTTCAAAAAAATTTTAAAAAAAAGTTAACTACGCTACTGCCTAGAAAATCTCATTTATTATTGCCAAATATTTTTGCAAAGTTTGTAACTTGTTTAATTGATTTTCATATTTTGTTATACTAATACCTCTTCTGTTCATGTTCAGTTTTTCTTTTGAAGTCTTCCTAATAAATTGGCATAATTAAAGATTTGATAAGGAACACAAAAAATATACAACAAAATATAAAACATTTGTATGTAATTGTTTTCTCTCCCATAAGCCTGTAAAAACAAACAATTATAATACATTTTTCAAATCTATAGAGATAGAAATACATCTTACTGATTTACGTGGAAATTTGCCAACAAGGCTGGCAAGGCTTTAGCTAAATGGGAATGTATTTATCATTATGTGGTCTAAACAAATTGCCAAAAATTATAATAAATATAAGATAATGATAAATTCAACAAATGTTGCATTATTTATCTACTACTTGAGTACAATAATATACATAAATAAATGTTTTTCAAATTTAAGATTTGCCATGATAACTCTCAACAGATATTAAAACACAAGTGTTTTAAAAGTAACAAACCAAATATTAGAGAACATCCAGGAGTATATACTTCAAACTTATAGCATGTCCTTATAATATAATTTAAAATACAATTTAGTTTACTTTTTGGCCTATAATTTGTTGAATTATTTATTAAGCTACAAAATATTTCATCTGATTCTTGAATTAATAACAATTTCTTAAATATATGCATATTTAATTATATATGACAACTAAATATTCAAATACAACTAAAATGCTTAAGGATAACTTTTGCATAATTAAATTAATATTATACATTCATTTATCAATTTTATAAATAAATTATTTTTGTTTTATTCTATTTTCAGTTGCAAGTCTGTTTAAAATTCATTAGGAAACTGGTAAGTTTTATCACATTTATGTCTATGTATACATTTATCCTTTAATAAGTAAAAATTCATATTGTTTATTTAGCACGTATGAGTTATATTTAATTCAAATCAATAGTAATCATACGTATGTATCTTAGGCGTGGTCGAAAAATGACTTGTTTTCTCAAATAAATTATTAATAGTAAACAAGTACGAATATATAATTAAGTTTTAATAAGTTTGTTAAGCCACTTTTTAATCACTGTCAAGAAAAATAAAGAATAAAGATTTTCTCATTTTCGATTTTAAAATCCTTTTAGTAATTTCTTTTAAATTATGTAATAGTAAAACTGCTTTTAGTTTTATTTATACCAAATGAACACCTCCATACCAAGGAAGAACTTTAGACTTAAGTAGGATAGTGGTTCTTGTCAGGTAGACCGGAAGTCATGGTGCAACTCCAACATATAGCACTGGTAAAAGTAGCAAATAACAGGGTCGATATAGGTCTAGGTATATTTCTTTGGATTTTATGTATGTATATGAAGAGGTCCTCAAGTTGGTCATATTCTTGTGTGGTAGACCGAAGTTCGTGGGATCGATTCCCACGTAACTAACTAACTAACTAACTAACTAACTAACTAACTAACTAACTAACTAACTAACTAACTAACTAACTAAACGAAGAACGAACGAACGAACGAACAACGAACGAACGAACGAACGAACGAACGAACAACGAACACGAACGAACGAACGAACGAACGAACGAAGAACGAAACGAACGAACGAACGAACGAACGAACGAACGAACGAACAACGAACGAACGAACGAACGAACGAAACGAACGAACAACAAGAACGAAACGAAACAAACGAACGAACGAACGAACGAACGAAACAGAACGAACGAACGAAACGAACGAACGAACGACGAACGAACGAACGAACGAAGCGAACGAACGAACAACGAACGAACGAACGAACGAACGAACGAACGAACGAACGAAAACGAACGAAACGAACGAACGAAAGAACGAACGAACGAACGAAACGAACGAACGAAAGAACGAACGAACGAAAACGAACGAACGAACGAAAACGAACGAACGAACGAACGAACGAACAACGAACGAACGAACGAACGAACGAACGAACGAACGAACGAACGAAGAACGAAACGAACGAACGAACGAACGAAAACGAACGAAGAACGAACGAACAACGAACGAACGAACGAACGAACGAACGAACGAAAACGACCGAACGAACGAACGAACGAAACGAACGACCGAAGGAACGAACGAACGAACGAACGAACGAAGAACGAAACGAACGAACGAACGAACGAAAACGAACGAACGAACGAACGAACGAACGAACGAACGAACGAACGAACGAACGAACGAACGAACAACGAACGAACGAAGAACGAACGAACGAACGAACGAACGAACGAACGAACGAACGAACAACGAACGAACGAACGAACGAACGAACGAAACGAAAACGAAAACTAACGAACTAACGAACGAAGAAGAACGAACGAACAAACGAACTAACTAACGAACAAAACTAACGAACGAACGAACTAACGAACGAACGAAGAACTAACGAACGAACTAACGAACTAACTAACGAACTAACTAACTAACGAACAACAAAGAACGAATAACTAACGAACAACTAACTAACTAACTAACGAACTAACTAACTAACTAACTACTAACTAACTAACTAACTAACTAACTAACTAACTAACTAACTAACTAACTAAAAACTAACTAACTAACTAACACTAACTAACTAACTAACTAACTAACTAACTAACTAACTAACTAACTAACTAACTAACTAACTATAACTAACTAACTAACTAACTAACTAACTAACTACTAACTAACTAACTAACTAACTAACTGACTAACTACTAACTAACTAACTAACTAACTAACTAACTAACTAACTATCTAACCATTCACGTGAGAGCTCTACCAATGTATGACAACGTCCTGAAGTTGTCGTACATTGGCTGTCGAACAGGCGGTTGATGACCATCCAATCTGACCAGACCTATACAGTTCCAGCTAGATAAGAGTTTATCAGCATGAAAGCGGAACACCTACCTGCAGGACAGTGCCCTTTCAACAAGACAAGAACCAGTTCTTGCCTGGCCCAGAACAGCTCCGTTAAGAGTGGGATATCAATCAAACAAATTATTTTTTAACTTAAAAATAAAGTTTGTTCACTATTTGTCATTTAATTTTCCTCTATTTTCAAAATGAAGGTTTTTTGGTATATTTTTAATCGAAGAAAGTTTTTCGAAACAATGAAATAGCTATCAGAACTTCTTTGGACAATTTTTGTTACGCCCAATAGGTGAAAAGTTATACTCATTTGCCCATATGTATATAAGATTCTTCATAGCCGAATATAATACTCTTATTTTTTTGTAATTTTCTCTCAAACACTTGCAAAATGTCAACGTTTTCAAATTGAATTTATCTTTTTATTTACCATTAATTGTTTTCTTTAGTTTAATAAACATTTTCATTTACAACCATTCATTCTTGTAAAATGGCCGCAAGAGGAAAAATTTATCTTTGTTGAAAATAAATTTTCATTTTACCTTTTTAGTGGCATTAAATAAGTCTTCATTAAATCAACATTAATTTGATTAAAATAACAAAACCAACTGTCATCATTGTCAAAGAAACTTAAACATAATTAAAATTATCGAAAATGTCTATAAGAAACTTTTTGGCCAAGGACAAAAGCAAAATTATTCCATCTATTCGGTATTCAGGACAACTGGCATGAAATAATTTGCAAACTGTTTAATTTAAATGACATTTAAATATAATGCTTAAGTAAGAAAGACTTAACTATAATTTGCATAATATTTTCTCTTTAATTTGTATTTAATTTTATTTCTTTATTGTTATTGTTGTGCTTTTAGGAAGAATGCTGCAGATTACAGATTTCTTTATATTTGTAGGGATATTTTAGTTGGTAATATTTTGAATAGGAAATAATATAATTAATTTATTACTAATCACTTTCAATTACATATTTATGACTTGGAATTGATGTAGAAGAAGTTTAGTTTTTAATTGTAATTTGTTTATATAGGTTTCAAAATAATGTACTAATTTATCATAATTTTAGCAAAATTTAATTTTGTTGTTTTGCTTTTGACTCTAACAAACATACATATGTAACCGATTCTCCAAACACCCACCACCCACTGTTTTAGGTTTCAATTTCACTCACAGCCCTAAGTAAGTGACATGACTTTATAGGGTTAAGTCAAGTGTATGTTTTGCCAAAGGCTTTATAGGTGTTTTCATTTTAGCAATAAGCTGAAAATCATACCATGAATAAGATACTTAGAAATAGTATTATTTTCTTATACGTTCTCTATTATTCAAACGTACATACATACATACATACATACATACATACATACATACATACATACATACATACATACATACATACATACATACTACATACATACATACATACATACATACATACATACATACATACATACATACATACATACATACATACATACATACATACATACATACATACATACATACATACATACATACATACATACATACATACATACATACATACATACATACATACATAACATACATACATACATACATACATACATACATACATACATACATACATACATACATACATACATACATACATACATACATACATACATACATACATACATACATACGAATTTTTTTTATTTTCCCAACACTTCAGATGTTTTCTGCAAATCGGATTATAGGTGACATTTTTGTCCTGTAGCCGTTCTCGTAGAAAACAATACACTTAAGATGATCAACGCAGAAAAAAATAAGAATCTAAGTAAAATAGTAGTAAATAATCTGACAACAAATAACGCACAAAAGCAAATAAAAAAGAAGAAAATTTAAAAACTTTATAGGCAAATAACAATTAAACAAAGCACTAATACCTAAAGGTCATGGAAAATGTATCTAGATAGAGTTTACAACTTCAAACTACAAATTTGTAATGTAATTATGGTTGGCAAAGTCATTTTGAAGGGCTCTGTACGAATTAAACTTTTTCTAATATATTATGTAATAGGATTAGAAATAGAAGGGAAAATACTACAAGAAATGTATAGAAAAACTAAACAGCAATAATATTTATAACAAACTGAGAAAATTTAAGAAGAATAACCATTTAAATATGAACTATGCCTCCTGGTAGGTTAGTACTTAGTATTCTTGTCTATCAGATAGGAGGTGGTTGGTTCGATTCCAGAGGCATTCGTAAAGGAGCGATGTAGGTCTAGGTGTATTTCTTCGGATTTTATGTAACATACATATTCTCCTTTTAAACTAACTAAATAGCAAGTAAGACTAAGCTGAAACTGACGAGACGCTTAATGCGGCGGAGCTTAACCAAGAATGTCGCCACAAATATGAAAATGTATGCCTATATAGGTCTAGACGCAATGACCGAAATACAAACTATGGTGGGAATATATTGACTATAGAACCAACAAAGCATATCGTTGTTTGACACTATGTAGAAGACCCATAGGCTCGAAATGTTGTTTTAGTTCTTACGCTGCTTTAATTTGTGGTTCTTATCTTTAGACATTGGACCCAAATAAGAAATCGTTTTCAAATGGCAGACCCTTGCGGGAATCTGTTGTTACCAGATAAAACGGGATTTCGGAATAAAAATCTCGACAACGGAAATATACTACTGTTTTCCTAACCTTAATACTTGAATTCCGGCGAAAGCCCATGCTATTACGGAATGTATAAAATGGATATAAGTTACTGAATTCTCGAGAATAGTCGTTAATGAAAGGAAACCGACGATGTAAAACTGATGATTGCAAAACCAACGCAATGAGAGTTGAGTTAAAAAAGTGGTCGAGACAATATGACGAAGTGTTGTACATGAACACCTGCCTTGAAGGCCTAATTTAACGGTGGTCTTTTTCCCTCATAGGA